CACACTGATTTTAAACATCGATATTACATTGTCTAGACATTTCTATTGCTTCATCCTTACCATTCAGCAAATAGACATAGTCATTTCTAATGTTTTTTTCAATAAAAGTGACAACTACTTTTCCCACCATGAGATGGTGTTAACTTCATATCACAAATGTCAGTGTAAATCAATTCTAAGGGATTAGAATTTTTTTTCAACAGATTAATAAGAATGCTCAACATACTTAAATTTCACAAAAACTTGACATTTTTATTTATTGCACTCATAGTTAGGAAATACTTCTAAGTTGATCAGTTTTCCTTACAAGGGTTTGTAATTGACATGCCCCAAGTGTTCACGTCACAAACATTGACTCAAGCAAGTAAGAACAAATTAAAACATTGAGTTCTAAAAGCTCTTCGCGAGGTAGCTTGTTCCTCACTAATATTATGTTCCTATTTCTTACAATTTTGTGTGATACAAACATTGTTTAGATTGTCAAATGTCCTTTTAAGAAGGACATTTCCATAACTGTCAATATGATTGTTATAGAACTACCCATGAAAAAAGTTTCATCGGATTCAATAAAGACAATATAGTCCAAATGTTATTTTTACAAAAACATAACACATGACTATTCACCAATATTCATGTCTATGCAAATACTTTTATTATAATAGACATATCATTTAATGAAAAATCACAATATTTTAAGTGATATTTTTTTTCCATAAAAGAACACAATTATTTTGAACAAGCATATATATAATTTCGATGTTTCATACTAGTAACTCTATATACTAGTAATAGAGAAACTCAACAACCACAATACCAAATATACCCCAAGAATTTTGTGGGTATAACATAACACAAAAGTATCATTGAATTTCATATCTTTTGCTCCAAAGTTAAATTAGACATCAAGTCTAATCATAAGCAAATAACCCCCACATTTCAAATTTGATCTCAAAAATATTTTTCTAAAATAGTTTTTCCATATATTTTAACGTTGGAAACATTATTCTACGAAAGAATTATAGTGTTGCAATTCTCTTTTACAATGTTTACACAATGTCAAAGTTCATTCCATAGAGACACAAATCACAAATTCTAAGTCACTGATATTTTTCCTCTATCATAAATAGACATACCACTTAGTATTTTAAATACTAATAATAAGGACAAAAAATTGTATAATTTATTTCTATATTACATTGAAGTTTATAGAAAATCAAAAGTACAACACTGACTTATTATGCGAAGCTTTCAGATTCATCAAATCAATTGTATAGTTCAATTTATCCAGAGTATAACACCACAAAATTTTTTAGTCTATAAAAATCAGACACACCAACATTTCTCATGGAGTACAAAACTACAAAAGTCTTTTTTTTCTCCAAACAGAATAACACATATTCTTTATCACATAGAAATATTTTTCTTATCAAATGGTCTTCCAACTATAGTATTTTGACATACTATTTTATCAAACAAAAACATGCATCTCTCATTTTTGCAAATTAAAGAATTTTAAAAGCAACAATATTTTCAAAGTTAAATACATTCCACAACATATGGTTTATAGATCTTTTTCCGAAGATACACATCATAATAAAAAAAAGATAATGACTCTTAGAATCTCTCTTCCTCCTTAAATAATTTAATAAGAAGATTACCTGGTAATCTTTAAATGGAATACCATAAAAATTTTCCGTTACATTCTCACTTCGACCTTGCTAAATAAAGCAACGAATTATGGAGAAGTAATGCATTTATCTTCTATTTTTATGATCAGATTCTCTCAATAAGTAGAATACAAAATATACTAATAGTATAATAATTTCCTTAAGATTGTTCTCCATCTTGTATTTCAAACATACTTATAACAAAACTTTAAATATCTTTGTAAGACAACAAAGTTCAAGAACATTTTCACTACTAGAAAATTAAATCTAGTAGCGAAACTAAAAACCAAAATCAGATATATAAAAAATATACTAAATACTTTTCTTAAAGAAGAATTGTTGTTAATGTGTCTAAAGAATCTTCCTGATTCCAACAAACTTTGCAGAAACACAAAGTTACCAAGTTTAATGAACCAGTGAAGAACAAAAGAATAGAAAAACTGAAATTAATTCACAAATCTAAAATTTGTAAAACACGTACCAAAATTTGGGAAATTTTAATAGGAAAAAGATCAAGTCCACTGAACTCATAGTGTCCTATTAAGGAAATTATTCCCCTCTAGTATCCGAGGTTCGATTTGGAATATGACTTCTCAAGGTAAAATGATCTCAATCACCAGAGTATAGATACGAAAAACTCTTGTGTCAGTGAACCACTCAATGGCAATAAAGTATACTTATAATACTAGATTTAGTAGTTGAAGAAGAAGTCCATGAAAACTTTATTAAAATGAGAGGAAATCCATCAATTTATAGAAAACAAAGGGTAGTGCGAAAAGTTTCTTATTGTGTCTTACTGGAATGGTCACAAACCTTTGAAAAAGTCACAATCTTTCAGATTGATCGTCACCTTTCATAAAAGTCACAACTTTCCATAAAAGTCACAACTTTCCATAAAAGTCACAACTTTTTATAAAAGTCGCAACATTTCATAAAAGTCACAACTCTTTATAAAAATCGTAACTCTTCATTTTTCATTCACACCTTTTTAAAATCCAACAGTACCATAACATGCTTATTATTGCTTTCATTGTTGATATCTTTATTTACATGCGTAGTAAGGAAGAGCATATTGGTAACCTTAGAAGATTAGGCAAAAGTTGATCATCATATTGAAAAAAATACAATTTAAGTTGCAAGAAATCAATAGTACTGAATTTCTGATGTGATCATTGTGATGTAAATGATTGATCAGTTAAAATTTGAAGAACATCTCCATAGAGATTACCTCAAATCCAATTAAGTGCAACAAAAATGTATTTCATTAATGTTAATGTACACAAAATATTATGCTAAATTGAGATGAGATTAATTCCCTTGAATAATTGATCTCACATATAACATTTGATTATTCAACCAACAGGCTATGGAATGCCATAAAGTGAATTTGATACTAAACAAAATTATGATCCCAAATAAACAAAATAACGAAAGCATGTAATCTAATAATGATTGATAGTTTCAAATCGAAAGACAAAAATAAAATACAATTAGTTGCAACAACCCAAGTCCTTTGAAACAAAATAGTCTCCATAAAAAAAATGAAATTTTCACGCAAGGAAACTATTCGTAAAATCATCAAAACAATCTGTTGTTCTTGGAAACATAATACTCGGAGTCGCTACCACCTGCATAATTAGACTTAAGGTAAAGTGTAAGATATTACATGTTTAAAAAAACTATTTCTTAAAAAATAATTCAGTCTAATTAAATGATAATAGTATAATTTTAGGGAACGTATTTTTTTTTTTTAAAAAAAAGAGTAAAATGATTTCCTTCACTTTTAGGCCAAAGTTGATTTGCTTCACAATTCTTAACTTCATAACTAAAAAAATTCGTCAAAACACATTCAATTTGCCCAGGAGTCATTTAACTCCAAAAAACGATATAAGAGATTGTAAACCCAATGAAACACCAACAAAATGGAATTTAATGCCACATTCTATATGGATATCAAATCTGAAAAATTGTTGTACATTGATTTTTTAGCTAATACCAACAACCAAACAAAAAATATAAATAAGATCCAACTAGATTGAAGCACTAACCTAATCATCAGAATAAACTAGATCAAAATCATTGTCAAATAAATTTGGTAGTATGCTGCTGAGGTCCAAGATTTTGAAACAAATAATCAATATTATTGAAATTGGAATGTACGTCACAATCTTCCTTCTCATTTGAATCACTTCCTTCTATATCACTCTTATTTATCGCGATTATACTGCTTGGATAAGACATTTTGTTCGGCAATATGTTGCTGAAAATTAGAAGTTATTATTCCAGGTTTGTTACTAGTCACATTTTCAGAATCAACATCAGACATCATTGTGCTAGTTGTTTGTATTTCCTGCATTCACATTTAAGTTGTAGTCATTAATAGTTGTATTTCCAACACTTATATAAGACATTATTTTGCTACATGAATGTGTTGTTTTATGAGATATATTGAGGTTCAAGTTGTACTCACTTTGAATATGATGATTCCAACAGTTAAATGCGGAGCCAGGCCTATGAGTAATGTTTCCTATAATTGGGTCTCGCAGTCTTTGTGAACCAAACATTTCCAATACTGGTCTATGCTTATGTTGTTGAAGTACACAACCAACATTATTTTGCACAGACAAAAATGGATTATTTAATGAATTGTCGAGGTTGGGGTAGTGGGGTTGAACCTGACATTGTGGAGGATAGAGTTTCTCTTGAGTTGAACTCTCCCCTATGCTGGTATTTGGAGTTGAAAATGGAAACTCTGGTCCTTTTTGGATTTGATTAGGAATATTATTTTGAAAACGGGGCATTGTCCCATATTTTCTGTTGCTACTTTTTTGTTGAGATTCACTTGATGATTCTTGGCCTGATAGACGCCAGTTACTTTTGCGCTCTTCTGGAGATCTCCAATTGTTAAAACGACATTTCTGAGAGGTGTTAGAAGAAAAAAAATGAAAGGTGAGTTAGACCATGAATATATTCAATTTTCATTATGACGAAAGTCATTTTAATGAGAAATATTTTTGGCATTTTGTAATTTATATGAGTGATAAAAGTCTTTAATAATAACGAATTAAAGATTAATAATATCATTCTTCCATTGAATAGTCAATAAAAACGATTAAATTAGAAATAAATGACTAATATTATCACTAAAAAAGTAATTAAGGTCTATCTCTAATTCTATTTAATTGGTGAGTATTTTGATAAAAGAAAATATTCATTTCTTAAGATTAATAATAGTGTTTGAATAGTTACTATTTGGGATAAATATAAAACTAATTTTTTTTATTTTTTTCTAATACAGAATATTAGTAATATAGTTGCAGAATAAATAACTTCTCAAACAAGAGTTTGATTAAGAATCTTTACAAACAATACTTTTTACAAATCAAACATGAGAATATAATCATAAAAACATTTTTTTTCAAGTGCCTTTTCAATGGACAAACACATACAAAAGGTACATGATTAACCAACCACTTAATTATTTTTGAGGATGTACATACCTGTAAATGGCTCGCTACCTGCATCCTGGTAAGACCAGGCACATCCATAACCGCCACTATTTCCTTTGGGTAACATCCTAAATGTTTCATAAGAATAAAAAATAAGTTTAATAACTATAATTTTTTTAAAAATCGGTAATGTAACACAAAAATTATTGCGCCTTACAAAACAAGATGATGCTAGCGGTAAGTGTAAATTCTCATTGTTGTTCATACATGTATGTATAAATAAATTGAGAAGAAATTCTGATTTATTGTAAAGTAAACTTACTTCCTTCACCTAATTGTTCCAAGCTTTTCATAAATTTTGCATGAAGATTTGCAGTCCACTTTAGACAATTCTTTTGCTTAATAACCTTGTTCTTTTTCATATCTTTTCTATTGTTCTTCCTCCTCCGCTTGTACTTTCCATTCGATCCGATATGGTCTTCAACTTCCTCATAATTTATTTTTTCAGATAATACTTCATTATCTCCATCCATATTATTTGTATCAACATCATTAACAGTCATCTTGTGTCCATCTTCTGATCCTTTTTTCGCTGTCTCTCTTTCTATTTTTCTCCTAAGTACAAATTGCCACAGGTATTTCACAATTTCCTCATTTAGTGGCCTGTGTACAAAAAGGCTTGCCCCTTCTTTCAAAGCTTTTTTTGCCAAGAGTTCATTGTATTCATCACATATAACTGCACATTTATTTCAAGAAGTTGACAATTAAAATCTAATTGTATTAAACACTATGGAAATATTTAATTTCAAGTATATTCACTTTAAAATTTATGTTACAAAATAATAACTTTATCATTTACTAAATAAAATAGGAATTAAACAAATAACAAATGTCACTAAACAACAAAATATTCATTGCTACTCATATTTAACAGTGATTTGTACCAAATTCTTTTTGCTCTAAAGAATCTAATTACATATTGATAGCAAATTTTTAGACGTTTTTTTATAGTGTATTTAGAAACGTAATTGATTTTTCTCAAAGTAAATGTCATAAGTGGAAGGATAGTAAATACTTACATAGTGAAATTATATCCAAGGTCACAGCTTGATCCAAAAGTTTAAAAGAATTCAAATTCGGTGTAGGAACACTGATTATAATCACATCAATTTTTTCCTCTCCTTTTGAAAGCATTTCCATTGCTTCTGAAGATGTACGAACTGTAATAACTGCATCAATGCATCTTTAAAGTCAAAAATAATATATATATATATATATATATATATATATATATAAAATGATTAAATAATTAAACTTAATATAAAATTGTGACACTTCTAGAACATCTATTGAAATTTGGAGATAGACAAATATTAACATAAGACTATCAACTCAAGCCCCCCCCCCCCCCCCTTTTCCTTTGAAAAATCATATACATTTTGATGGAGGAAGGTTATCGAGTGTGTAACATTCCTATAACATGAACAAAGTCTAAACAATCTAATTTGGTTCTTCTACAAACAGATAAAAAATTATTAATTAACAAAACAACATACACAAATATAGAAATGGTGTTATGACATAAAGAAAAGATGAACTCAAGATTTACTAGACAAAAAGTAAAATCTAAAAAGAATTCGAGGTTACAATCACAATAAGTATAATGTCAATTAAATTTCTTTTGAAAAGGTAATCAAATCAATTTTATTTATATCAAAGAATCAAAGGTTTTGAGTTAAATATATATTTGTAAAGATGTCACCTTTGTAGTCATAAGACTTCATCAAATCCACCATTTTAGTGACATTCTTTGTTTCAGGATCAACTAGCACCACCCGAACTTCATCTACAATACCATAATAACCAGTTGCCATTGAATTTCTCTTACTTCAGAAATTTGAGAAGAGGAGATACAAAAAGAAACTAATTTTCTCTATAAAAGCTTGATTTTATTGGATTCACATTTAACCCTTTTGAGGGTATTATATAGTAATTACAGTGGTCAGTGAGTATGTTTAAGTAGTGGTTTAGTCCTTGTATTATAGGTTTAGGCCACTTTTGGATCTGTTGTAATTCATTTGTACATAATTCATCTTTAATTAATATAATCAGTAGGTTCTGATCCTCATACTAATGAAAGTTGAATATTTAACGGAGTCATATATTTTTACACCTTGTCTTCTTGCTCTATTAAAATTTGGACCAACATCTATGCTTCAGTATAGTTAAAGGTTTTTACTAGGATGAGCTTTTTACTGATTATCAATTAAAGATGTCATGATTAATGATCATCAACCGTTAATAGATTTGTTGCATTTTTATCTTCCTTCTTTTTTTTATCCATATTTAGTTTAAAATTTCTCTTAATTATGTAATTAAATAACTCAAAAGATGAATTAGTTCAACCAAAAGAATTGAAAATATTACATTTACAAAAAGAATTGAAAACATTAATTTAAGACTTTGAAGTAAAAGGGTAACAATGGACATCGGTAAATGACTTATCTTTTTATGTTGAAAATTGAAAGAACTTTGAGATAAATAACTCTTTGAGCATTTATACTTGGATCATGCCTTAGTTTTTTTCACCTTTTTATTTATTTTTTCTTAATTCTGTCAACATTTTAACTTTTGATAGTTTGAGAGATTACAATTGCACGTTTATATAATTGAAGGCTAATGATGTTAAGTCAGAACATTATAGGGGTAAAAACTAAAATATATGTATAATTCAAGGACCAAAATATATTTATATTTACTACTTATAATTTTTATTTGACCTATTAATTGCTTTTTTTCTTTCTTAATTCAAGACAATTTATACTTTTGTCGTTTATTCCGTTCATGAGTTAAGTATGAAGGGCGTTGTTTTCTTGAGAAAAAAAAACATCATTAGTTTTAGATTCTTAATCACAGTTTCCAAGGAAATATCTTAGGTTACAAGGAAAATAACTTTTGTATGACCCAAAATCCGAAAGGTCTTGGTCACGCACATCCTAATCCACGGATAGGGAATCCAACCATCCACCAAAATATAAAATAAAAATAATATACAAATATGATTTAATAATAAGAAAATGAAAGTCTCAACCCCAACTTTCTGTAACACCTCTGTCATAACACAGGGGTATACTCTAGAAATAACATGACGTACTTTACCCCGAAGGGGTCTCACACAAGACCTCAGCACATCATAAATTAGATAACAGAAAAGTATGAAAATTTACATTTTTATCCATACAATCGAAGTCTTTTATAAAAGCAAGTGGATGTCTTACTATACTTTGTCTCAAACCATCTAAACTCAACTTTGAATTAAAATCTTTGGGACACAGCCCATACAATAGCCTCAAACATGAAAATAAAAGAACTAATGGCTTTGTCCTCGATGCTATAAGGACACACCGAAATCTTCAACTCCTTGCTCCTTAGAAACCTATCCTCAAGAATGGAACTCAAATCTCCAAACCCTACATTTGATCAAAATGTAGGCAAAGTATGTGATAGTACAAAAATACTAAATATGATTACTAGCACAACATCATAAGAGCATAATATCATAAGGGTTGTTCAACATAATACATAATCCAATACTTCATGAAATATCAACTATAAGCATAAGAGACAATATCATAAGCATAAGAAGAGTCTCCAACATAAGCATTTCTTCACGCTTAGTCTTTCATATAATAAGAGAACCATTTCAAGTAACCTCAAAGCATACTTGTGCAAGGCATGGAGAAGACCCCATGATCACATCGAAAGCTAAGTATCTGTTTTTGGTAATCCTAAGCATAGCCCGTATAACTAGTCAAGCCTTAAACTCTCATAAGTAGCTTCGAGTCATACTTGTTCAATGTATGAGTAAGACCCCACAATCCGACTCACACTAAGTATCAATTTAGGCCATAATACATACTTACCCTCTTAGGATGCCATCCTTAGATTAATTCTCCTAACTGAGATCCTATACATGCTACCCCTTTTAGGTCCTCATACTCATACTTCTTGATTTGAGAACTAGTATCTTTCCTTAAGACATTAGGACCCTAAGAGATGCTTCTTTAAGCACATCTTTGTCCCTCTTCTTTACTTTTGAACACTATGAAATACTTGCTCAAGCGTATCTAAGTTCATTATTAGTATGGACCCTATGAGATACTTCCTCAAGCATGTCTAAGTCCATTTATGCTTTTGTACACTATCTGGTACTTTTTTAAGTAAGTCTTAGTCCATTGGTTACATAGATTGCAACCTTAACTCCACTAGGTGAAGGCTTACATCTTATGAGACCTAACTTTGAGATTTCCCCCTTTTACCTTGGATAGCCCTCATATCAACTAGGTGTGGTTCTCCTCTCAACTTGGAGCCCGGAGCCTACCTTGTGTGACTCTCCCTCTCATTGGTCAATATCTATTTGGGACAAGTATACACCCTTAAATTCATTGTTAAGACTTGCCCAACATTGATGTCTCATGGAATAATTCCCTTGATAATCAATCCATGTTCAAGTGATTTTATCATTTTATACATTCAAGCAGTTATAAGGTAGGTTAGGTGAATATAGTCTTTCACCACAATTCTACCCATTATATTTTTATTCTCATATAGACTAAAATCACAAAGACTTATCATGCATAATTCATCACATTAGATTTATTCTCAAAGACATGAGAGTCAACTCTCATAATGACTAGCCGTACTCTCCAAGCTTTACTTAATACAATTATGCATATCTAGATCTCAAGGCATTCTAGTCATAAGCTTCATCTTTAAGCAGTTCTAGTCCTAATTCATCCTATAAGTTCAATCTCAAGTTTTACCAGTCATGATTAATAATTTATACTATAATATACACCTATTCATGTTCACATGACTATATTCATGAACAAATACAATACAATTTATCTATTTTAGAAGATCAATCTATAAATCCTCAATTTCACCCTTCATGGCATAAACCCACATACTATAAATTTCATCAATTATATTAGGGTAAACCATGAAAAACATATAAATTCATCATAATATAATGATTCAATATTATAAAATCATAAACCAGTACTGTGGACTTAACTGGAATCATACTTAAGACTACCCACAACATAAGAAGAAACCCTAGCTAGAATTGAGTTTTATTTTCACAATTGGGGGAAATCAAGGGGGGTCCATGGATGTAAGAATACAAGGGTGAATAAACTATCATACCTTGATTATAAATCCCTCACAATGCTAGCATAATGGAGGAATTCGACCTAGCCTGACCCTCTCTTCTTCTTCTTGGATTCTATAGAGGATTTTTGAGAACATGAACTTTGATATCTTTTGGGATTTAGGAATGAATGACTTAGTTACGTTGGTTAATGATTTCAAATAATAAATATAGGTGTACAAAGTCCATATAAAATGACCCCCACTTAAAACTAATTAAAAGGGAATTCACTAAATGACCTCTCACTAGGCATCCCACTCCCAGGCTTCACGACAGGGCTTCATGACTTAAGGCATGACAACGAGCCTTCCCACGAACCGTGGTCAATACCAATAGCCGTGAAGTGGCTCGTGGTCCATGGTACAGTGTCTTGGCCCTAGGACTTGCCTCCCACAAAATTAAGGAACCTTCACTAGGTCTCCCAATTACCGCGGTCAAGATCATTGGTCGTGGTGATGATCCTGAACATGGGCAGTGCTTTCAATGGTTGGGGCAGCCTTGGCCTTTGTCTTGGGCCTTGACTTGTCTTTTGGCCTTTACTCTTGTATCCCTAAAGTAAACTCTAGATTTTCGAATAATATATGAGGAGTCATTTTATGATTCAAACCCTTGCTTCAAACTCTAAAACCTTCACGTAAAGCTCTAGTTTAGTCTACAAATTTCTTGAATGTTACAACCTCACAAATTTGTCTCGTATTTATGTAGTTTACATGTCTTTTAGGCTTAAAATTTAATTCATTTTGCATTTACAATTATTGGAAATCAATTGGAATGAACTCAAGTACTTAGATGTGAGATTTTAATATATAAGTGATGTATCGCGATTTTACGACACTTTTGATGCTTTTGCTGTAATTTCTTTTGTGTTTTTAGTATATTTGATTTGGTTTGTAGATATTTTTAATGGAAATAGGATTTGAAATCTTTGTACAAAAACTAAGATGATGTTAGTCATTTTTGGAGTTCACAAAGACATTCCGCAAGATGTAATTTGAACCAAGAGTTCTAGATGACCTCATAGATGAGAATGAGAGACTATTTAAAATTTATGATTCTCATGAGTTAAAGTTAAGTTTTGTACACACTTTCATAAGTCATAGATAGAGATTATATATGAGAATCATAAATTATGCAAAAAAAAACTCTTGAGATTTACAAGTGGAACTCATGAGCTTCAAACATGTTCACGAACCATAAATGGTGAACATAGGTAAGGTTCAATAGGTGAACAATAAAAGAAACTTGATCTACGAGTGAGGACTATTATCCATAGAATCTTCCATAGGTAATAGAACCTATGTATGAAAAAGTCCCACCCTTGAAGATTTTACTTATTTCTACGAGAGGATTCCACGACTCGTAAAACCATCTATGATCTATAGATGGTCTCCTTGGAAGCTGCCGAATAGTGTTTTATAGTTTGTTTAGGATAGGTTTTTAATGACCGTAACTAATTTTCCTAGGTTTTCTATTACATTTTGTTTTCTGGTGTGATACTTAAAGAAAAGAAGTCATTTGATTTATTCTTGAATTTTGAGAGAAATCATAACTTTGATTCTTGGATATTGACTTCGAGTTATAATTAAAGATTTTATGTTTCTACTATTCATCTCATAAGTGGAATATTATGCATATTAATCATTAATTCGTGTTTCTGAGATT